TGTACATAGAATAAAATAAATAACAATAATAATATGACTACCCTGTAGATGTTTGGAAGTGGTTAAGGAAGGACTGAAGGTCCAACAAGATCACACAAAATCAATATCGAGCAATAACGAATCTCAATAGTCAAATGCCAACTCCCAAGACACCAGAGAGAAGGTATACACTTAACTTAAGACAGCTGTGCCTAGAGTGTACCAGTAGGTCACCCACGTCACCTCTCTACCGCCAAATACTGACGTACTATATCTAGATTGGCCAAAACATAAACTTTATCTAAATTACCTATTGACATTAGTTCCACTTAACTGACCTATATACAAACCATTACAAATATAATGCACTCTAGCATAATACAATAAATACACAATATAATAAAGTTAATACTTAAATGATGAATGATTCAGTGTGGACGAGTAATGAGCGAAACTGCTCGAGCTAACCTCACACCATCTAAACCAACGTATTTCGGCAACCACCTACTAATGTATTCATAATTCATTTGGAAAATTTTGTTTTCACACTCACAAGTTTGTTTTACTCTGATCTTTACCTCTTTTCCCTCTTTTTTTTATATTATATCGAAGATGATTAGTGAAAAGTGGGAAAATATTGTTTTAGGAAGTTAAGCAAGTTGAAAATTATAGGAGTGGTCAATGGTTTTTGGTTAATATTATGGTTAAGAGCCACTGGCAAACTATCAGCTATCATACACTGTACTGTATATGATTAAAACATTTGACATTCCCTTATGCAGCACTAGGAAAGTTCATTACATGTACACAGGGCTACACTAACAATGGTGCCTGAAGAGCCCAGCCCGTAGACCTCAAAATCTGCTATTTTTCACCATTACTTTTATTTATTACTTTTAAACAAATTGGTTTGGCAGTACTGTACAGTAAGTCCTCGCTTAATGTCGGAGTTACATTCCTGAAAATGCAATGTTATATGAAACAACGTTAAGCAAATAAATTTTCCCCATAAGAAATAGATCAAATACGGGAGTTACGTTCCTGAGCCTCCCTTTGCCCCATGAAATACATTACATATACTGTATAGAAATTCAATGGCATTTTTATAGAAAAGAGTATACCTCGTGTTTTGAAGCTGTATTTGGTAAAATGTTACTCTGATCACCTAAGAGGCACGGGTAGTCCCCAATTGGAGGTTCACGGCGCCATAAGCTCGATGAACAGGCTTTGTGTGAAATATAACAAAGTCTAGGAGTGCTTTTAATGTCCTGGTGGTCTAGAGGTAACATTCCCTGGTCACACACATATGCGCTGTGTACTGACAAAATTTTTGTAAATGACTGGCAAGCTTGAAAGTGAGAGTTTTGTGGTGCTGAGAAGAAAAAGAGACACCCTAACCCCGTCGTAAGTCGGGGAGTGGCTGTATACAGTATATAAAAATAAATAAACTAAATCATTTGTATTGTACTCACTGATAGATGGAAGTGGTGGAGTATTGTACTCACTGATAGATGGAAGTGGTGGAGCGAGTGTGTGGTGGGTAGTGGAGCGGAGGAGAGGGTGGCGAGTCACTGCGACCTGGCGGGTGGCTCCTCCTCCCGGTTTAAAACCTCCATTTTCGTAGCGAGGCTAATGGTTTTACGTTGCTTCACAACACTATTATCAGAAGCATTTGATGGGCACTTGGAAGCCATTTCAAATTGTTAGAGTACAGTATTAAGAGCAAAAATACTTAAACACGGACAAACGCTGTGGAAGCCCAACAGACTGGCTTGGCGTTGCTTGGGAACGCTGTGACGTTCCACGAGTGAGAGGTAGCGCGCCGAGAGAGGGTGGTGCGCCGTAAAAAGTAGTCTGTGACTGTGCAAAACGACGTACTGATTCATTGGGGCGTTAAACGAATTTTTGGTATCTTAAGATTACCGACGTAGTACCGAAACAACGTTAAGCAGGCCGACGTTATACGAGGACTTACTGTACAGCATTTGCTATGATGATATCATGTACGGTACCCTGCACTGCACATTAACGTAAACCTGGATGAAGTAATGTACAGTGTAAGCTGTTGCTTGGAAGCAATAAATTTTTTGGTTTGCTGAGCAAACTACAGGTCCTCCCCGACTTACGACCAACTCGACTTACGACCACCCGCACTTACGACCTGCCTCAGTCGTACCAAAATTTGGTCAAATTACGTATTTTCGAGTCCCAAAGTCAATACACAGACACAATTTTCATCTGTAATTCACTTTAAAATGGCTGGCAAGCTTAAAAGTGAGTGATTTGTGGTGCTGAGAAGAAAAAGAGACCCCCATTTTCGATTTTCTATGTGTTATTTAAGCATTTCCGACTTACAACCTGGATGTCGGTCCCTAACCCCATCGTGAGTTGGGGAGTACCTGTATGCATTTTCTACAGGATCAACTCACAGTTGGTCTTTCTTGACATAGAGTTTTACTCCAAATGAAAATAACAGGATTTTAACTTTAAAGAGCATATCAACAACATGATTGTCTTGCTATGCTGAGTTTACAAAAGCACTGTGCATGAACTGCAAAATTATACAGGCAATTCCCGAGTTGTAAACTCCCACACTTACGAATGGGATCCCAATACTGTACTACTTTACTGTATATTCGTCACAAACATCTGTAACTAAAATCCTATTTTTTACATAGCGTACTTCTATTATTCTGTATTGTTTAACATCATTTTATTTATAGTATTTACACTACAGGGTGAGTCAAAAGTCTCCATACATAGGCAAAATGATCACTTTATTATGCAATCACTTGTAAGTCACAAAATATGCTTTATGGGCACCATTATATTTCAGCAAGATGGGGCGTCACCCCATTACGGTATCCGCGTGCACTAGTGGCTGGATCAACATTTTTCGGCTCTCTGGATTGGCCGCTGTGGTCCTGTGGAGTGGCCTCCGAGGTCCCCAGACCTCACCCCCCTTGAATTTTACTTGTGGGGCACTTGAAGGCCATGGTCTACCAGGTGAAGATACAAAACATGGACCACCTAAAGGAACGTATTCGTGATGCGTGTGCGAGCATTGAATTGAAACAGTTTATTTAGCCAGAAAAACACAGATACAGAGTGGATAATAATAACAATATTAACATGGCTGAGCCAGTTGATAACCTGAGCTCTCTTTGAGGCACCTGATATACATTTATCTCAAGAAAGTATTATGTAACATTTAGTAACATCTGGAATAGTACAATAGCATGGTGGTAATAAGAACATCTCATAATGTTACCACGGCTATCACTTCACTATTTATTTATTTATTATTTTTGTTTTTCAGTTTATTTATTTTTTTATTTTTTATTATAAGTATATACATAAATTACAATGGAATTGGAAACCCTAAGTATAATGGGGGAGCAGTACAGCATGGGTTGTACAGTATTAAGGTTGAACAAGAGGACAGAGTTGGTTAACACGTGTTCACCATGAGTGGGAGGAACAGATCCGTATGTACATTCAGCGTAATGGTGCCCACATAGAGCATATTTTGTGACTTACAAGTTATTGTATAATAAAGTGATAATTTTGCCTATGTATGGAGACTTTTGACTCGCCCTTTATTTATTATGTACCGGGTATGGTATACTGTGGTTGTTTTGTATTGGCAGGGTTGTGCTTTAATCTAACCTAAATTATGGAATTAACACTGTTCTGACTTACGGACGGGGTTCAGAAACGTAACCAGTTCATAACTCGGGGACTGACTGATGTTGTATATGAGAACCTGGAAAAGTTTGTGGCAACTTAAAATGCACCTGAATCTATTAGGTCAGAAGCAAGCAGATTAATTGCTGGCCTTGATAAGCTTGAAACAGGGTTTGTGGCAGAAGTGTGGATTCAAATACTTATATACTGTACTTCCAGAAAGTGAACCTTATTCTGCAAAAGGAAAATGTGGAGTTACTGACAACCACATTACTGCTGGAATCCCTGGAAGAGTTCATTGGGACACCGCATGAGAAATTCAGTGAGATCAAAGATGTTGCAAAGAATACAGTGCCATGTACTGTATAAGCAAACATTATCAAAATGAACAGAAATGCCAAAGGCAAAGGAAAAGTCATTTTGATGCGAGAACATCACCAGCTGAAGCATTTACAGACTTCCCAAGTTATTGATAAATAGTGGAGATCTCCTGTGTAAAGTAAAGAAGATTATAGAGAACTAGCAGATGATTTTACTTTTCTAAGATGTTTCTCATATCAAAACAAAGAGCATTTACGAACTAGAATCGCCCAACTCACATCAAAATATAAGGATTTTACGACTTCATTATCCGGCTGAAAGAGAGGATAGATTCTCCAGTATCAGTTCATAAACGATCAGAATTTAAAAGCAATTTTTCCTCATGTCACCATTGCCTTTAGAACTTCATTTCACTGTATGTCACACTGTGAAGCAGAATGTAGCTTCTCAAAAGTGAAGTTAGTGCTACAATGAACCAAAACAAGCTGAACTACCTCGCCATTTCATTATGTCCATAGAAAGCACTCTCACATGCATGATTGACTTTCAGGATGTGATTTCTTAGTTTGCTGCTACGAAAGTTCGAAATGACAACTTTTAACTGTGAATATCTCCATATCACATTACATGAACATTACAGTTCATTCTTCAAATTTAAATTTAATTTCAAATTACAGTAATCTTAATAACTAATGATTATCTATAGTACAGTACCAGTATGTCATTTATAAGAAAAAGGCAAGTTTTTTGTTTACAGATATCGTGTACGTATTATGATGATGTTACATTTAATTATTTGAATTTATGTAATTCAGTCAATATATGGTCTGCATTTGAACCTGGAAATGTCTTTTTCTTTTTCAAGTAAAAAAAAGGGGGAGGGGGGGGGGGCTTGATGATGAAGTGCCCAGGGCCCTAGATTGTCTTAACACAGCCCTGTCTACAGTACTGTATTTTGTACTGTAGGCGATGTCACTATGAAACATTATTTTAACTGTCTTTTATTATTTCAGAACAATGTAGAGCCAATGGTAATTGATATGGCAGTGGAGGAAAATGACAATACAGAGGATGAGCCAGTTATTGTGGAGAGTACGTCATTGGTGAGTACGACTGTTTATCCACATCACTAATTCTATCACGTGTGTATCTATCTGTGGTAGTTATATCAAATAAACATTGTACAGTACTGTATTGTTTCCTCACTATCCTGAGGAATATAATACAGTTCTCTTTATATAGTACTTTCTGCCTGACCTTCTATCCAGGAGTTGTAGACACAAAAATTGGAACAAACAGTAATGGTTCTTATTCAGACTTGGTGTGTGGATATCTCACAATATGATATCTGATGAGTTCAGTACCGGTACCAACTTTTTTCTGACTTCACTGCCCAATTATGGCCCTTTGGACCTTGTTTTTAAACACCAGGAACTCACCCATATTTCCTTGTCTTTCTTACTAAATTGATTCCTTGGGTAACATAAAAACAGCAGTATATTTAAGACATTACAATTCTTGCTGGCAATAAATAAAAGATGTAGCTACACTGTTTGGTTAAAATGAGAAATATAAAGGGAGTGGATAACAATGGCTCAAGCACTGTACAGTTCTGAGGCACATGTATGGGATGGAGACATAAGATACAGTAGCCACAGTGAGGTTGGCTTCAGCAAGAGTTCTTAAGAATCAAGTGTGTTGTTGAATGTAAAGAGACAAAAGGTTAGTTGTAAGGCATAATGTATACAGTATATATTTTAATACAATAGGTAAATGTATTGATACATATTAAGAAATTTTATAATATTTGAGTGGAATATTTAGGGTAAGGAAAGTTAGAAACTATATAATGTTTATACTTTTTTTTACTTTGATAGGCATTTAATCTCATTAACATGGAGGTAAATATAGTATGGTTTATAAAAGATGTGTAGTTACTTAATACTTTATTAGCATTCAATACAAATCAGTTTTGCCATGTAAATTAGTTTGATTTTTCTCCAGTTTAAAAAAATCCATATTTAGTCTAATGTTCTGTGTACAACTCCACAGGACCTTGAGACTTACGCCAACTGCTACACAGGCCTTGCAAAGTTACAGCGACTCGTCTTTATAGCCGACCGATGCCCCCAGTTACGTGTGGAAGCTCTTCGAATGGCCATACAGTATGTCCAGACAACTTACAATGTCAACTTATATACTCAACTCCACAGGAAGATGCAAGAAGCAGTCAGGTATATATAATTATATCCGTGGTGATTTCTTATGTTAGATAATTTTAATATAACTCCTTCCTTTATTTTAATTTTTTTTTTTTTTAATATGTTTATGGGTAATGAATCTTGACTAGACATGAGAAATTTCCCTTCATTGAGCATAATTTTAATTATATTTACAGTCTTGTTCTGACTAATTAAAAAAAATTTGAATTCCTGACTTGAGCTTCCTCACTGGTCAAACAAGAGAACCACAGAATCACAGCTTCAGAATTTTTCTTTGACCGGGTGAGGAGATACTATGTAGCACTAATTCTCTTCACGTGGATGTTATGCCCTCTCACTGAACAAACAAGCCATCTGGCAGTGGCGGGTACTGGCAGAAGGTAGTAATAGGTCTACTAGGTAACCCATCTCAAGCTTTTATCCAAAAGATGGGATTGCCATACATACTTTTATTCTTCAAGTAAATGAACAACGTAAGTCTTTAACTTTTCTTTACAGTGGAGCCAATGCAGGAAATGCAAGCTTACCAGATATAGCAGGAGGTCAGGTGGGTGGCGGGGTCGTAGCCACCTTACCTGTCCTCGACATGCAGTGGGTCGAATCTCGTGCCAAAAAAGCTGCGTTGAAATTGGAGAAACTTGATACTGATCTAAAGAATTCTAAGGTAGATATTATGCATTAATTTATTGAAGTTTTGTGTTAAACTTGATTTTGAGATTTATTTATTGCATTACAAGAAGTAAATGACTAATACTGTACTGTAGTAGAAGTGATTATGACATTATATGAGTGCTCGAAATCTTCTGTGATAGTAAATGGTGAGGAATTTGAGGAGAGAGTGGGGTCTGTCAGGGATCTGTCTAAAGTACCCTTTTGTTCATCATGATGCTGAAGGAAATGTGTGATATTAAAACTGGCCTGCCCTGGGAGTTGGTGTAGGCTGATGATTTAATGCTGATAGCAGATTGTATTATAGAGACAATTGAGAAATTGAAGGATGGAATAGAGTCAAAGGACCTGAGAGTGAATGTGGCAAATTCAAAAGTATTGATTGGTGGTGAAGGTGAGGGGCTCATGGTGGAAAATGGCCATGTACTGTCTGCAAGTGTTGGCAGCAACTCGATGATGTGCTATAAGTGTGGAAGGGTACACAAGAGGAGGTGCAGTGGTGTAGATGGCAGACTGCAGGATGTTACTGACTTTATGCATTCCATATGTGCAGGTAACAATGTGCCCACAGCAAGGCTGGAGAAACTCAACATTGGGGTTATGTCCCTGGACTGTATTGATGAGTTCTGCTACCTGGGTGACATGATTCGTGTTGGTGAGAGGGCACTGAAGCCTGCTTGGTTGCAAGAGTCAGAAATGGCTAGTAGTAGTTTGGGGATTTGCTGCCTTTATTGACAACAAGAGGACCTTCCCTCCACATGAAAGGAAGAATGTATGCAGATGGAGTGAGAAAAAGTGTAATATTGTATGGCAATTAAAGAGGATGACATAAGCAGGCTTGAGTGGGATGAAATGAGAATGGTGAAGTAGATGTGTAATGTGACACTGAAGGACAGGAGACCCTGTTCCGAGCTAAGAGGGCGGCTGGGTAAAGAGAAAATTGGTGAAGTTTTGTGGAGAAGCAGGCTGAGAATGGCTGTGACAAATTGGGTCAATAGGTTATGGCATCCAAGCTTCCTTACACTACCTTGACACATCTGTCTTTATTTTGTAATATTTTCCTCACCAATTAACAGGACTAAAAACTCTTGTTCTCTGGGAGTTATATAGCTTGTCCTCACTGGTTGAGAGGAGTGGGCGTAGTTCATGTTGATGGTCGTCCGTGTACAGTACAGTCTTGAATATGACACTAGGGTTTGTAAACAAACACACCTCCGGCATGCCAACCACACGAGTATGACTACCCATAAGGATTCAGCGAAGGTGTACAAGCTTACCAACCCTACCCTCGACGATCCCTCATGGAGGGGAAGAGGTTTGAGCGATTAAAACTACCGCTTGAAGGAATGACTCCTACCTGAGGGTTCTTCATGGAGGGAAGGAGAGCCAGAGGTAGACCAAGAATGACATGGGGAGAGGTTGTAAGAAATGACATTAAGAGTTGAGAACCTAACAAGAGTGACTGCAAGAGATGTGCAACATAGAGAGCTGCCATCGGGTCATCATAGCTAACCCACACAGATGTGGAAAGGGGCTGTAAAACAATGATGACAGAAATGCATGCCTTCAATCCATACATCCATTTATCCAAGAAGCGTGAACATATTGATTTGAACAAACATGATGAATTTTAACAAATTCAAAGAAATTCAGTGCAGCAATACCCCGGTTATCACAAAGAATGCATACCTCAAAGTCATTACGAATATCGAGACAATTTTCTCCAAAGAATCTATGTAATTAGAGGGATACTTGTGATGCAATAAAATAACTATGATACCATAAAAACAATACCAAAAAGCACTGTACACACACATAGTCAAGCACCTTTAATAAAGTTAAAATAAACATAAAGTACCGATTCATCATGCATGTAAAATATTCACTTACCGTAAGCATAGACCGATACCAATGTTCTGATAACTGCAAAACTTTTTGATTGTGTGTGTATGAAATGTGAGTGAGTGGGAAGCATTACAAAAACTTTTGCGATATAGTATCAATGCTACCACACAACGCAACAGATCAAAGCAGATAGAGTGTTCTTTATCATGGCACAGTGTATGAATACACAGCAAAAACACATAATTGCACAGCCTGAGCCACCGAGCACCAGTGATGCCACACCCTTGCAATTCATGTTCCTCATTTTGCTTATGTAGAGATATTCCACTGATTCGAAGGTTAGATATCGTAGATACAAAACAAAACTCCATTATGAAAACACGTACAGACCTCACCCACAAAACCCCACCAATCAAGTCAGAATTTTTTGGCTCTAGGATTGAGGGCATGCTTACTGTTAGTATTAATCTTGTTTCTCCTTCATCATGTGGGAATTACTTTACATGTTCTGTTTGCCAAACTGTGTATTTTTACTTTATATTTAGAAGACAGTTTTATAATCTGACATGTCTTGTGTAGAAGTGTATGAAATTTGGGATTTTTTATGAAAATTCTGATTGGTACATTTAATTCTTACTCATTACATCTTGCATAGTATTGCAATCATGTGAGTAGCTTGATTATAAAAAATCCTGTTTTGACTTGACTTTTCCTTTGTTTGGGATGAAATAGTTTGCTTTTATGTGAAAACAAAAATAACTCCTGCCACCATTCACAGGTTAACAGCATCAAGGAGTCAATTCGTCGAGGCCATGATGATTTAGGTGATCATTATTTGGATTGTGGTGATCTTTCTAATGCCCTGAAGTGTTATTCTCGAGCCCGGGATTACTGCACCTCCTTCAGACACATTATCAATATGTGTCTTAATGTGATTAAGGTAAGGTGGAGTAGTCACACATCTCCTATGATTGTGAACTGTGGAATCTTATCAATAGTAAGATACAAATCATTTCTTCAGTTATATGAAGACTGAAAATACAATAAACTCTACTTCATTTGTGGATTTAAAGTTAAAAAAATTGAGATTTCACTTTAAATTTTCACTGGAGGAAATCAAGAAGTTTGCATTGGATTGAAAGTTTGTGATTGTATGTATTTATGTTGTGAAAATTCCTCCATTTATGTTATAATTAGAAGAAACAATTCATCTATAAAAAGTCATTTCTAATTGCAATGTTTAGCCACAATACTCTTATATAGCATTACCAAAATTATTACAGGGAACTCTAAACCGTGTTATGTATCCCTCATTGGTCATTAGTATATACAGGTTGACAACCCTTACTCCGAAAACCGAAAAGCTCTGAAAACCGGGGCCTGGGGGGTGAAAATGTAATAGTAATACTAATTATAATAATAATAATTATTCATAGTAAATAAAAATTTTAATAAAAAATACACCAAAATAAAATAATAATAATAATAATAATAATAATAATAATAATAATAATAATAATAATAATAATAATAACAATAACAATAATACTGTATTAATAAAATAATAATAAAGAAATACAAGAATGAAAAAAGATAAAAAGTGAGAAACACGACCTAGACCTATGAATTATTATTATAATTATTATTATATTTTTGCCTCCCAGGCCCCAATGTGGGTCAGTGACTTGTGCCTGGGTGGGCTAATACACACACACACACACACACACACACACACACACACATACACAAGAAAAAAAAACTAACCATTCTGAAAACCGAAAAATTCCGAAATCCGAAATGCCTCTGGCCCCAAGGATTTCGGATAAGGGATTGTCAACCTGTATATGGTTTTTGCCTTGTGTATTAATCTATTAGTGTATAATTTATTTGGTCTATGATTAGAAATTGTATTAACTTTTGTATTTAAATGAGGAAGTAATGTACAATACGGGATATAGATAATGTACTACATGTATGTCAACTGTTGGAGCAGCCATTGTTGTTTTGGTCCTCTGTCACAGGACAGCCACCCACTCATAGCATATTTATTCATATTCAGTCATTCCATAGCATTTCACTCCTCACAAAACCAAACTCAGTTCCCACATTGGTGTTGGCCGGTTGTTGTTCTAGCCTGCAGCTGTTTAGTATTGAGTGTTGATTTTTATTTCTTTTAGTATTTTATTGTCATACAACACTGGACATCTTATTAATGGTTTATTTTTATTTAAAAACATTTCTAATACAGTATATGAGTTATGCTTGATAGTGTCGCTGACGAGGTTACTCAGAATAGAACTTCATTTTCCCATAAGGTCTGTGGATATATAATGTATGTCGCAGGGAACAGGAACTTAACCCCTCAAAGTTTCAGCAGTTTATTGTATTTAATCGTGTCACTTACAGTATTACAGTACATACATAATACACTTTTAGTTTTTCCAGCACTTACTACTGGAATATTTAAATTACCAGTATATTGGATAATTTTCAATATAATTCACAATCTCAATAAGCTTCCCACACCATCACCATAGTGTAGTTGTAAGAGATGTTTTCAGGATATCCAGGCAAATTGTGGGGTGGGTAGAAACAAGAATGTCTTGAGTGAGCAGTGTGTGAAAAATGACCATGGTAATGTGTTTTTGATAACAAGGAAATCAAGGATGCTTGGAGAAAATACTATGATTACTGAATGAGGAATATGATTGAAACATGGGTCGCATGGGGGTAGTAAGATCAGTACAGGGACCATCCCTAATGATTGAAAGTGAATTGGTGGGGAGAGCAGTTGATAAAATGAAGAATGGAAAAGCAGCTGGAAGTTCTGGGATAGTTGTGGAAATACTGAAATCATCACGCGATGTAGGCATGTCAGTGGTGATCAAGTTGACAAATGCAATCATGATGGAATGTTCAGTTCCAGACGACTGGAGAAAGAGTTTGATTGTGAATATAGTAGTATCTCCATTAGCCGGAATCCCTCTTAACCGTAGCTCTCCGATAACCGGAATTGAAAATTTCTCAGAAAATCGTTCCCAATGCTGGAATTTTCTGGAAAATTAAGGCTTTGGGAACAATCTCCCAAGTGGCACATTTTTGGAAAATTTTTAGTAAATTTTCCTGGTACCTGGAAAATTCTGGGGATGGAGGATTTCTTACCAGGTTCGAGAGATGATGTAATGTGCAATTTCTGGAACTTCTGAGAAAATTTCCTGGTACCCGTAAAATTCTGGGGATGAGAGATTTTTTTTTCAGTATTTGAGTCATCTCGTTACCCGGAAATCTCTCATTCTGGAAGTGCTCTGCACCAATTGTTCTGGCTAACGGAGATATCTCTACTTTCAAGGGTAAAGGTGATGCACTTGAATATGTGAATTACAAGGGCCTGAAACTGCTAGATCAGATTTTGAAAGTTGTAGAAAGGGTGATTTTGAAATTGTTAAGGAAGAGAGTGGACATGACTGAAATGCAGTTTGGGTTTATGCCAGGTAGGAGGACTACAGGGGTAATAGTTATGGCCAAGCAGCTACTAGAAAAATAAATAAAGAGAGAAAATTGTACTACTAATTTGTAAACTACCAGACAGCATTTGACAGGGTACCATGTGACATTGTAAAGTGGGCAATGAGAAAGCTAGGAGTTGTGGGGAATTTAATATGCCTCAAAGGCTTAACAAATTTGAAGTTTCTATCTATTTCCAGTGCACATTTCTACTTTCTACTGCATCCTCAGATACAATAACACTTAATCTTGTTTATAAAGACTACCAAAATTGGGTAGTTTAACTACAATTTCAGAACAGTGAAATATTTTATTCAGAAATTTATGTCTTATACAGTACAGTACTGTACTATAGATGGAGACACACTTGCACATGTTTCTGTGGTGTTTGGTAATTGTATAATTATATATTTGTATAATTAACAGTGGGTGGAATTGATATATCAAAATTCTAGTCAACTGTGAATGTTGCACTTCAAAAGATTTTTCATGTTTCAGGTTTCCATCTACCTAAATAACTGGTCACATGTCTTGAGCTACGTAAGCAAAGCTCAAGCAACTCCAGAAGTTTCAGAATCTAGGGTGAGTAATATATTCCCTGTATATTTCACTTATAAAGAAATAGAACATTTTGCTCTGATTAAATTTTGGTGATGGTATAGTACGTAGTACATATATTGTTACTTAAACTATTACATCTAGACAAGAAGCATAGTACAGTACCAACTTGAGAATCATTACAGAAGGTATTTTTAATATTCAGAGCCACATAGACATCATTTATTTAATTTAGCAATGTAATTAGTGTAATCCAATATTGTTTTGGGAAATGTAGGCAGTTAGCAGAGTTTGTCAAATTTGATAAGCTGAAACAATTATGTTAATTTAATGATTAATATGCAGCAAATACTTGGGAAGAGGTCTTTTATATAGGTTAATCTTCATATCTACTTCTGATTTAAGTTTTGGAAATTTATCCTGTTTATTTCATTATCTTAATCAATTTTAAAGAACTCCATAATTATTTTTTGTACTATTTTCAGCCAAGCAATAACAAAGACCAATCGGCTGTAATCCAGACCAAATTAACGTGTGCTGCGGGGTTAGCGCAACTAGCCACAAGAAAATACAAGGTATGCTGTTTGAAGTGAATCTGCTGCTGATAGGTGATGCCAGGCTGTAAACAATGAAACACTGACAAACCAGACTATATAGTAGGGGCCCTTTGTTGTGGAGAGGGGATAAAGTCCTTGCCCTCGTGTTCTAAAGATTGGTGTTCATTACTCGCATTTAATTACTGTGAGTGAAGGTGGCTGAGTGCAGTGCTGGCAACCATTTCTCTTTGTGGACTGAAGTTTAGTATTCAATCAGGGTATATATGGATTTGTTGGGCTATTTTACAAGCTACACTTAAACGTGCCTTAGTGTTGCATATACATTGCTCTCGGTGGTTGTGCTAATATATAAACAATGTTTTCTAAAGGACACATTAAGGTCAGAAAAGGGTTTTCTCTTAAGTAGTTCCTGCCATTGATCATAACTTCTAGTAATTAGCTCCCTTATTCATACTTTATACAGTATGTCTCTGTTGTTTTCTGTTCAGTTTCATGTAAAGTGCAGTTTTGTAAAGAATAAGATGTGTCGATGTGTGCATGCGTACACATTGCCATTTATTTTCATCCAAAAGTGTATCTCTTTTCCATTCCAACATTACTAACTCAAGACTGCTTCATAGTGCTATTCTCCTTTGCTCTGTATTTTCAAAATTTGGGGGTGCTGTAGTTCTTGATTAAACATTCTGAAAGAGATAAAAATTACAGCCTTATTTATACTCTGCTTGCAGAAGGCATATTTATACATGGTGAATGCATGAAAGTTGTTGAAAATGTGGGCATGGAAATGTAGATAGAAAAGATTGGAAAATTTGGCCAAGAGATTGTATGCAGGTTAACCAAGTAGGGAGAGGAATTAAAAGATTTTCAAGGATGTAGTGGAAGGAAAGAGTATGGGATTACATATTTAAGTGAGAATGGAGACTGGTAGTGTGGGTGTTATTTGTTTAACACTCCTTTTTGCAGATAATTTTTTTAACTAATATATAGACTTCAAGAGAGATGCGGTCATTGTTTTAATGACATATTATGTTGAGATTGACAGTTTTACCTCATTTTTATATAGAATTTCAAACTGTTTAGCTATTGAATACTGTCTACTCTAGATCAGTGGTTTTAGTGTATTTCTTGATATTTCAGGCTGCAGCCAAGAGTTTTCTTGGAGCACAGCTGGATGCCTGTGATTTCCCTGACCTGCTGTCCACTTCAAATGTAGCTATGTATGGTGGCCTGTGTGCACTGGCAACGTTTTCTCGTCAAGAACTACAGAAACTGGTTATCTATAGCAGGTTAGACAATAGCTATACAGTACAGTATATATACAGTTGAATCCGATTATCCGGAGTCCAGACAACCGGCAGATTCAACCAACTGGCACCAAAATGAAATAATAATACTGTAATAATAATAATAAATTCCTCCAAAATCAACTAGAATCGTAAGTTTGAATACCTGTTGTGATGGGGATAAGTTACCATATTTATTGAACAGCTATTTTAACACTTATTCCACCTTGGATAAACCATTTAGTGAGCACAAGTTTAGCCTAATTTGAATTTTTTTTCAAAATCGTGTCTACAATTAAAAAAAAAATTGCTGTGGTAAACAATAAAATTGATACATGGCATATCATAAAATCCAGTAGCACATTTTTTAGGAAGAAAAATAGCTTCTTAAACACTCAAATCATCCTCTGGGTGATAGTCCAGTTTTGCCAGGCAGTCAACCAGCCGACTCTGACTCACAGATGTGTGACTGCTGCCATGCTGCTCTGTGTGTATGCCATGATGTCTCATTTGGGGTGGGGTGCTGCGACTCAGTTACAGCCCACTGCCTCCACACACATTTTTTTTCCCACAGATACACATCCTTACTCTTCATTTTTCGTATTTTTGAGTTATTTTGTTATTTTTTCTAAATCACATCCTTTATATACTGTAGAAAGGAATAAGTGTTTAAGAAGAAAGTTTTTATGCAAATCCTTGCATTTTCGTGAGCTTTTAAATTTCAAAATTTTTTATTTTTTCTTAAACGAGCATGGTCAAACAAAAAACAGTAATTGGGGAATGCTCGTGAAAATGCATGGATTTGTGGAAAATTTTAATTTTGAGGCTCAAATTTGTGAGAACAACCTGTAGCACTGCCTTGTAGGAGTTATTGGGGGAATCCTAAGAGTAAGGTTCAACTAACCGGGTGGCCACTAGGTAGCTCATGTTGACAACAACAAACATGCATGCCACCTGGTGCACTATAATACCAAACTATGTACTGTACTCTGTTTTGGTGACTGTGAAGTGATCTTTGCTATGTTATTCGTGACTAAAATGCTTTGTCTCTTGTCAACAAGTGAACAGTGGTGGCCACTCTCCTCGCTTTTATGTTTTGTGACAATTTTTTTCACTGTTTTTGTCACCATAAAGTGAGCAGTGTGGTGAGTGTTGTTTAATTGTTTTATGTATATTTTTAGTGTATGATTTTTTATTTTTTTATTTTATTTATTTTTTTATTTTTTTTCTTATCACCATCATCATCATCATCGGTGACACATGTAGGTGTTGGACTGGTTCAGAACGTATCCCATTGAACCTCTTGTTATAATGCTTCTGGTCATCATTATTTCACATAGTGATGGGTTTTTCAGGAACTTAACCCCATCATAAATAGGGGGATACCTGCACAACACACACACACACACAGTACTGTATATATATTGTCCAGTAATTATTGTTCAGGTTTCAACTTTTTTGTGATGGATTTAAATGTATGCCTTTTTTTCCTCTCTACAGTATTAGAGTTGAGGTCTTTTGGGTGTTGTACAGTATACCTTATTCATTGTCACTCCTGCAGCAAGAGAAACAAATGGCTGGTGTCCACCAGTTTGTGCTTCTGACTCTGAATCTGATAACTTGAGCTAATAGCAATATATTGTACCCAAATTCAGCTCATTAATATATATCTGCAATATGCTAAATAAGTTTGAATTTGATAGTCAATATTTTGTCATTAATGTTTAGATTTGTATGCCCTCAGAGGTATGGCCATGGATTTAGCCAACCCTTAATAGGATAATTTCCATCAGTGACACTGTTCCAGGATTTTCATAGTCTTCATGTGTGTAAAATATACCAGCGGCTTTTACCAAGAAAGAAAGTGAAATTTTGAAGTTGATATAAGGTAGTAAGTTGTGTTACTCAAGTGAAGATTACTGGTAGAAAATGGAAGCTCCTGTAATACTCTGTGCAGGTGATATTGTGTTCTTCATGGAATTTGCAGAACAAGATAAGAGGCATTGTTATCTTTGTTAGAAGAAAAAAGAATATTGTAACCTGAATTTCTTTTTTACTTTCAGTTCTTTTAAGCTGTTTTTGGAAGTGGAGCCTCAACTACGTGACATCATATTTAAGTTCTACGAGTCTAAATATGCCTTCTGCCTCAAACTCTTAGATGAATTAAAGGTAAGTAGGAAGGAATTGGTGAAAAGTATTAGTTATAAAATGATGTTGGTCCTTATTGGCTGTATGAAAAGGATCAATGATATAAGTTTCATTAATGTTCTCAGTTTATTGTTACTATTAGTAGATCATTACTGGTCATAGAAATTAAAATCTTTATGTCCTTTTGATAAGAAAAAATTTCCTTGCTGGTATAAGTACAGACTGAAAGATAAGTTATGGTCAGTACTCTTCATTTTAAAGGGAAGTGAAGCCTCACATATTTCAGAATTTTTATTGTTCAGTAGTACCTTGATATACTGGACTAATTGGGTCAGTCCTCAGTCTGGAAAATGCAAAAGTTAGAAAAAAGCAAATCTATGGGGGAGAGTCTGGACTGTTTTGAGAAAATCAGTTGTTCATATAATGTTATTACTGCACTTCAATAACTATGGTCTTAAAGTGCATAAAAAAGTTAGTGATACATTACATCTATATTACATCAACAATAAAAAATATGAGATATGGAACACTGGGTTGAAAATTAAGAGTAAGTCTGGTTGTCAACAATTGTTTTCACTGATACAGTAAGTCCTCGCTTAACGTCGTGGTTTCGTTCCTGAAAACCACGACATAAACAGAATAAATTTTCCCCATAAGAAATAGATAAAATACAGGAGTTACGCTCCCCAGCCTCCCTTTGCCCGATAAAATACATTATATATACATAAATTCAATGGAACTTTTATCGAAAATAGTATATATTATACTGTGCATCCAAAAAGATAAATAAACTAAATCATTTTGTATTGTACTCACTGATGGGCGGAGGTGGAGTGAGTGTGTGGTGGGTAGTGGAGAGGAGGAGGGTGGTGAGTCACTGAGACCCGGCGGGTGGCCCCTCCTCCCGCTCTGACTGGGTGAGAGAGGGTGATGCACCATACAAAGTAGTCCGTGACGGCGTTATACCAAACTGGCGGGACATTGTCCAAATCATGGGTATCTAAAGAGTAGCAACATCATAACGAAACAACGTTGTCTGGGGCAACGTTAAACGAGGACTTCCTGTGTAATTGTTTTGTACTGTACTATAGAGATGAAAATAAGAGTGTAGGGGTATGTTGTGTGTGGGAGATAAAAGTGGATGTGGGAGGAAGAGTGGGTGGGTGGTTCCCTCCCTCAGGATCCCTTTAACACATCTTTATGCAGTTTCACTATAATTCTCATATTATTTTCATTCATTTGGTGCCGGGTTGATAAAATATTATCATAAAATAATTATCTTTAGTGAAAAAAGAATCCCACACTCAAACCCACATGAATCATTATATCTAATTATATTCTTGGTCATTTGTTTACAAAACACAATCATCCTATCTCCCTCACCAGTTCTCTCCATCTCTCATGCTTACCACAACATGTCTTCAGCCCTTAGTATATTGGGCTGTAGTGTATTTATCAGCACTTAATTAATGCTGTACTGTAGTGTATTTATCAGCACTTCGTAAATAATATTGTAGTGTCCTATTATGCAGCTCCATAGTCCCTGGTTTATTCATAAATCAGTTGTCTAAGTGTACAAGTAGCCAAATCGAATCATCGTGTATCACTCAAAGGTAATAAATAATGTTGTAAGGAATGTATCTCCATATTAAATACTATACAGTATGTTATCGTGACCCTGTTGTTAAGCTGATTTGCTGAAATCTCTCACTCCAGGAATGCATCCTTGGTGAATACCTTCCATTACAGCTTGTCCTTTTATTTTCAAATCAATTTACAAATTATATTACATTATGGTTTTTTCTATAATTAAAGGTGTTATAGTAATCATTATGAATTACTTGCCATAAGAGGCTGAACATACTAAAATACTATATTGAATCAATAAATCAACCTGGTGAATCTGGCAATGGCTGGACTCCCCTACCATCTCCATCCTGTTTACATATGCATTGTCTTAACTCTTGTACTTGGTAGCTGTCTTTAGGTCTATAGCATATCTGATTAGACCACTGTACAGTGTTCAGTTCTTTTCATAATTAAATTTTTTTTTAAATAGGTATTACAGTATACATAATTTTACCCATTTCTTAAAACTGTCAAGTTCCTAACTAAAGACAATATGTATTATACTCTTCATAAAATGTTTTCATAAATGAGTACAGTATAGGTAGCGAGATTCGGTGCACTGATATGATCATATGAAAACAAGACAAGATATGTGCCTTGCGGTGGCGTGACACCCACGCACAGACCTTCAACCACACATATGAACACAAACCATCTGGACTGATGCTGGATTTGCTGGACTTTTTTTTTTTTATCTGGTGAATAGAGGAGCACCTCAGAGAGACCAAAAGGGCAAATTTCAGTGTATTATATTGAAGTCCTGTCTATAAAGGTTTTACTGTTTTATTTTACATTTTTCATATACTGTACTGTACTGTGTATCTTATTTCCATGAAGGAATTAGCCTATTGTATGTCTCATAAAAAATTTACCCAGGGGATTCATGACTTCAGTGTTATCAGTGCAGATTGCTATTATTGTATCACCCATGTGGACACTTAGTAAGGTCTTATAGTCAATAATGAGGCCACATCAAATAACTAAAGTGAGTATACAAGCTAAGCTGAATTAAAAAATCACTTAAGTGTTAATACCATAGATGTTGAAATACGTGACAGTGACATTTCAGTATTGAAATATGAGTAAACATTAATAAGTGTTCTTAGTAAGAAAAGAAATATTATTTCTACCTCTCAGGATGTTCTGATGTTGGACATGTACCTGGCACCCCACCTTAACACACTCTACACCCGTATTAGGAATCGTGCGCTTATCCAGTACTTCAGGTGAGTCTTGGCATGGGGTGTTTTGAAAGTGTTTCTTCTGTGATTCTCTGAAGTGTAAAAGTGATGGATTGGATAAGCAAGTCTATCTAAGATGATGTACAGGGTAGTTGTGAGGGTAGAAATACAACATGCACAAAAAATATTGATCCAAGTAACCTTTTTATATGATTTTTAGCAAAACATACGGATAAATAAGACATGCAAACGTTTCTTCTCATATTATCTAAAAAAAAAAAGTTTCCTTTTGATTGGAACACAAGTTAAAGTTGATTTGGTGTGAACTTAGTAAATGTTTGGATGTAATCATGTACGACCTATCTTCATTGTCCAGATCTGCTTGATCTCCCACAGGCAAGGTATTGATGATGTGTTGTGTGTTGACAGCTTGTGTTTCATCTAATCCATGTATTCTTTATTACATGTTGTTCCAGTGAGTTCCCAGATCATTCTAGCACTCAAATATGTTTGCATACATTTTGTGAGGAGTGATATTTTGATGGCATGAAGAGATTGCTTGTTCAGCTCCTTTTGCAGTTGGCATTGAAACATTTGTTATGACACATCTTAAAAGAGGTTGTGGTGGGATTCTTCTTTTCTGCAGCAGACATTGATAGATTCTTCATCTCATAAGCATGTCAGTGGTGGCCTTGGAGGTCTTTCTGGGCCTCCCAAGAGATGATTTCTGAGGTGGGAAGATTGGGTGTTGTGCACTACAGTGATCCCTCGGTTAATGAACGCCTCGGTTAACGAATTACCTTCCATAAGAATCTTCAATTCAGTTAACGAACAAAAATTCGGTTCACGAAATTTTTACGAAATCATATCGACATGTTTTCGCTTGCTCACCAGCTGGAATATTAGTCCGCCAATACAGTAATCGGTTCTAGGGCTTAAATTCGTTCCCATTTGAGTAAATATCAAGAAGGTTGTACTATTCAATAATTTTCCAAGTTTTATATTAAAATTTTTAGTCATTTTAACACTTATTTAACATAATTGCAGTTCAGAAAACTGGTTTTTGGTGTGCCAATCAGCCACTTGACTCACCCAGCAAGGCATCATTTTGTATCTGGTCAGTGGAGGAAATATCTTGCTTGTGGGTCTCTTGAGCATAGAGTATTTTTACGTTTTTACAGTACAATTATTGGTCATTCTGAAATTTATTTTACATATTGACAATATATAGTGCAGTGCAGTGTTGATTTAAAGAAAATAATCTTGAATTACACCAAGTGAACTTAAAATTTTATATGTGAAATGACGGCATGAAGCATGGGGTGATTTCTCTTCCACCCCCACTTCCTTCTCTTCTCCCTTCTCCTCCACCCCCACTTCTAATTCCCATCATCATCATCATCATCATCATCATCATCATCAACAACAACAACCAGGAGCCTTCTACATACACACCTCAAAGTAAGTGTACTTTACTGCATTTATTTTTACTTTGTATGTAATTTTCGATGAGCTGGAACCAATTACCCAAAATCCCATTGAAACAATGGTTTCGGTTAACAAAATTTTCGGTTCACGAACGACCTTCTGGAACAAATTGTGTTCAGTAACCGAGGGACCACTGTATTGTCAATTTTGTTTGTGTGCCTCGTTCTGGATTTCCCTCAGGAATTTTCCCACCCAACAGGGCAAGAATGTGAGCCTTTTGCTTTCCAGACATGTTTTTGGGAGTGTGATCTTTTCTGTCATCAGAATGTGGTAGATAATAATGCACTTGTCCAGGTGACAGTTAAACACACACTGGATGCAGGAATCTTGCAGAGAGGTCCAAGGGATCACTCATTTAACAGACAAAAAATTTAAAACCAAATTCAATTTGGCAGGCAATAACCAGACTTAATTTTATTATAAACTATGTCTCTAGTTAGGTAATCAGGATCAATATTTTTTTGCAAACTATAGTTAAGAGTGTAGTTATTTTGACTAAGTTATGCAGAACCTAAATATATAATCGCCATTCATGTTAGGCTGCAGTGGGGATATTCTCATGCAAATTACCAATCTAAAGCTGGCAACAGAGTACTGTATATACACTATTTGTGTACTGTTCCTCATGCATATACAGTATATCTTTGTACATTACCCTTATGTAACGGTGTACTCTTTATGTTCATCTTATCCTTGGGTACACTTTCATCCTCTTCTGTTATCGTGTTAAAAATGGGGAATAGATAGGCTTTAAATACCACCTACAACCTTTAAACATTTGCTTCCCATTGGCTACTCTTGGAAGTAATATACTACTTGTTTACGTAAATTACCGATTACATATTAGGTATTTATATAATTCATTGGAGATTTTCACCTCAGCCCATACATGAGTGCAGACTTGGAGAAGATGGCCACAGCCTTCAACACTACTATTTCTGCATTAGAAGATGAATTAATGGCTCTAATTCTCGATGGTCAAATCCAGGCTCGGATAGACTCTCATAATAAGGTGAGTTTATATTATACAGTGAGTTGTTCCTGAGAGCACTGGGATTATGTGTTGAACTATAGGGAGATGGTGTGTGTTGCATTTTAGTGGAAGCATATGGCAAGTACCTCACAAGTAGTAACCAGGCTAATGTACAGAATTCCTATAGAGTTATTTATGTTGCTTTTGAGAGAATAGTTGATTACCAAACAATTATTTATCTTATGCATCCAGTGCTTCCTTTTGAAACTAGTTAAAAAAAAAGTATATAATTGAAATAAAGAATGTTTCTCTAATTCATTAAATTATCAAATGTTATGGAACATTTACAGATCTTGTATGCCAAGGCAGTAGAAGAAAGGAGTATGACCTTTGAGCGATCACTAGAGATGGGTCGTGAACACATCATGAGGGTAAAGGGACTAATCCTCCGGTCAGCACTTATCAAGAACCAGATTCACGTCAAGAGTCCGCCACGGGAGGGTGGAGGAGGGGGCGGGCAAGGGAGTGGAGATGTCACTATGGCAGCTACCAACAGTTCAGCATCTGCTCCCAGGAACTAAAATATGCATACCAGTGCCCAGGGCTGTGTTGAGACTAGACTTGGGCATAGTTTCAATCTTGTTGTTTGGTCCACCACGTGTGCCACAAGAGAGATGAGACTCAGTAAGACTTGCTCATTCGAGTTCTACATCAACAGTGCTCTACTGTACATCAGTCATTTCTTGTTTAATGTGGCAAAAGATACATGTTTGTGAGAGTTTTCACTGGTGACAATTATGCAGGGGTTCTATGACACTCCTGCCTTTATTTTAAGCACTACTCAACGTAACATCAAAGTGTGCTTAGCTCTTTTTTAAGTGGAGATCACAGACTCAAGAACACTAGCAGATGAACCTCAGGAGGTCTGTGGACTATGTATATCTATGCTATTTACTTGGTGTTCGTTATACCATATTGTATAGTAAAACACAACAGAGAAAAAACTCAAGTGCTCACATAAACTACAGTGCATCCTTAAAGTGAATAGCCAAAGCATAAAATCAAGATTTAAGCTGCAGCAGTTGTGACGTGCCACTTTTTAGAGAATTTCTGTTCTTAGTTGAGCAGCCTTTTTTTGCATATGAATTAATTATCAATTCACTGGAAGACAAGACCTCTGAATTCCAAGAACGGGTCATGATTTTGTCCATTATGAGCTTCCATAAGTGAGGATTATAATTGATGGTTTTCTCTTGGTTTTTTTGTTTTTGTTTTTTTTCATCTATAAAAGTTAGTGGTGACAACACATTTTAGGTTTTGCTGTTTTTTATTGTCACCCAGTGTGTACGTCACATTTGCTGCTACTGCAACATTATAATTGGTTATTCATGTGTTCTCCTGTAGCTTGTGTTTATAGCTATCCCATTACCTGTTGCCTATTTATTGCGTTTGAAAACAAGTTTTTGGTATTTACCTGTCCTCATGCACAGACCAAGCCACTAGTCTAGACTTTTAAGTCAAAGTTTTGTTTATTAAATTGACAGAGTTCAGCAGGAGATACAGGGTTGTCATATTCTGTAACTTTTGTGATGCAGCAAGTACATATATTTGCTAGAAAGAAATGCAGTGTTCCTAAGAATTTTGCAACTGCCTTGGAAGTTAACTGGCCAGTTATCTTATAGGGTTTTACTCTTCTGTGTAAGGCGTTGAGATTTTTTAATAATCACAGTGTTTGCACAGGAGAGCATGCATAGTGTAATTCCCCAACAACTTGCTGATGATTCACTGTCACGCACCCTGTAGCCAGGATGTCCAAGTCTTTTTGAAGTCTGCGGATACCTGGTCTTAAAAAAAAAATCATGGATAAATTTGTTTTGAGAAATTCATTTAAGCCAAATAACCTTACTGATTCACCGTCATGCACCCTGTAGCCAGGTTGCCCAAGTCTTTTCAGAATCTAAGGTTATATGGTCTAAAAAATGCAAACAAAAAACTTGGAGAAATTTGTTTAAGCCAAATAATCTTTGCTCTTGTATCAGCACTGCTTGAGGCTTGCCACCAGTGTAATTGTTGAGAACTCTAACAATTGTTAATCATCCTAGGGGTCCAGTCACAAGCTGAGAAGTGGTCGTAACAGAGAAATGGAAAACTTCTCCACCCATCATATTTATCATGCAAACCTTTCAACTGTGGGCTGCAGTGTTGACAAGAGTGGCTGGGAAAAAAGGTGATTTTCTATTGAGAATAGTAAAATAATAACACTATTATAAGAGTTTCTATTACCTTTATTTCATACATTGTAAATGCAACATGTAGTATATTCAATATATATACAGAAAGATCAGTGTCATGATTAGTTGACTAAGACTAAAAAAAAAAAAATTGTGCATCATTATGGAATTTTCTGTCTAGTAATAATATACAAAATTGGTAAATTTCTTCTGTATTGAGTAAAATTGTTTTTGAATTTTTCCATGCTCTTCCATCTTTGAACATCTACTGTCTTAACCATAAACTTCCTCAGATTCTTCTCATCTCACTTACAATCAGGCAGAAGACTTTCTTGTTTTGTTTATGTACTGTATATAATTTTAACCTTTTTTATCCACCCACATCACCTCCGTACTCTGGCCTCCACTTTATCAACAATTTCTTCTCTATTCCAAATCATTCCTCTTATAGTGTACACTCATAACCATGCCCATTCTTGAATTTACAATGAAACTGAAGAAATTTATTCCCGTGCTTGTTCTGTATTTGTCATTCCAGTGTTGCACATTCACACATCAGAGGAAGTGGATGATATACAGTACATGGAATCCCAGATTTTTTACTCAACTGAATTTCTCCAAGTTTACACCACTACCCTGCAACACATACATTTGGGGGACATGGCTTTCATTAATCTACCATCAATAGAAGACTTTCCTAAATACATGGAATTCAGTTTAAATTCTACTGTATTTCAATATTCAATCTTACTTCCCATAATATGTTATTTTTCTGATTTGTATGTTATTGTTGCTATTCAGAATTGACTTCATCTGTTTATTTTTTGTATAAATTTCTTTGTACTGTCTAGTTTACCATATTATTCATCAACGCAGTAATATATGTACAGCCAGCCAAGTGTAAACTGTGGCAAAATGTTCTGGTGTATGGAGACATATGGAAGGCCCCCCACAATAAACACACACAGGGGGTTCCAGATGTCTCCAAACACCAGAACATTTTGTCACAGTTCCCACTGGTTAACTATACAGTACATGTAGTGACCTAATGGAATTTCTGCTTCATTGTGGTGACCTGTGGTGTGATGGTCAGCATGCTCGCCCCACAAGCAAGTGGTCTCAGGCAGAGTAACACTATGGGCAAGTTTTTTACTTCATTTGCATGTATCTACCTGACAGTAATTGGTGACCTGACTGCTAATCGATTTGTGAATTGTGTTCTGGGGTAATGTTTTACCAGTGCAGTTGGTGAGTTGTCCAGTCTTGGATTATTCCTCGACACAGAGTCATGCATCTCATGAACTGTACTGTAGTCTGTTCACTCAAATTTTGCAACTGAGGCCTAGAGTCAGTTTATAGCAAGGCAGCTGATTGGCTGGCGGATGGACACATGAAGAGTCATTACAGTTCTCAAGTATTTAATCTTTTGTATTTATTTTCTGATATGTTAAGGGATAATAACTTTTCTGTATTAATCTCTGATAATTTCTGCACTTGGGGAAGCAGAAATTAGCTTGTTAAACACAATGGTAACATAAATATCATAAAAAAAAACAAGAAAATACTATATTACAAAAATTCAGCAACATTCTCCACCACACCGTGTGATGTCACGAGGCAAGGGGTAGTTTACATCCCTGAAATTGTCCCTCATGTTTGTGTTCCCCTCGCAACATTTTTATTACCAGTGCATTTCACAAGCTAAATTTTGCTTCCCCCAAGTGGGTAAATTATCAGAGATTAACACAAAAGTAATTATCCATTAAAATATCAGAGATTGAATACGATAAGTTAAATATTACAAACTGTAGTGACTCTTTGAGTGTCTGTCAATTAGCCAGTCAGTTGCCTTACAACAAACTGACCCTAGGTGTCAGTTGTAAAGTTCATGTGAACAGATTAGAGGTGACCGCATCTACACCTTAAATGAATTCACGTCAAGGTGGCTGTAAGTCCGGCCAACCTTGAATGCCATTGTTTATTGTTGTTTTTTATGTGTACTGTACATAATTTCCATTCCATTTTACCCTTTTTCAGCTTAATCCCCAAGTGTAAATGCCTCATAGCCTCCCTTTAAAATATCACCCATAAAAAGGTGAAAAAATCTATACCAGTTTCACCAACTTGATCTCATTCTGTTCATATCCTCCTAATGGTGCATTCATTTACCTGTATCTTCCACCAGTATACATGTATACGTGTATCCTCAATAATCACGGGACCCGATATTTGCTGATCTGGCTTATCACGGTATGCTCAATTGCGACCATGTGTATGCTTATCACTGATTGATATGGGTTATCGCAGAATTATCATAGGACAGAGGCGGGTCTGCGAGAGCCAGCAGTAGGAGCGACTGCCAAGAGATGGCAGCTCGGCTCATGGCGCCGCCTTTCAGCAATAGTATTTGTTTCCCCACGCTGTTTTGGATGGTGTTTCAAGACGGTTTCCTACTCCTTGCATGTTTTTGGTGCAATTTTTTTAACTTTTACTTACCAGGGGCGCACCCAGAAATTGAGTAGGGGGGGTTTCCAAATTACTGAGAAGTCTGGCGAGCGTAGCGAGGTTGAAGATGGTGTAATTTAGCAACCTAATCTTTGTATATAGACTTATATTACAGGATAATAGAAGTCATTAAAAAAAATTTAAATATTTTATTTACATAATTTTAAAATACATGAATTTACTGCACTAAATATAGAGTATATAATATGGTTATTACTGTACTGTATGTGTAACAATCATTAAGCATTTTAATACTTGTATATAATGACTAACTAACATTGAACACTAACAGAGCTCATAAAATTTGCTTAACAGTTTTTGAACACCCGTAAAATACATTGCCTTTATTTTTCTGAAAGTACATTGGCAAATTTCATTTAACTGGGATTTCTCTGTGCAAATGTGTCAATTACTGTACTTGGTTAATATCCATGCAGTACCTGGAGGGGGGGGTTTCCGGGCAACCAGGAAATCCCCCCCTGGGTGCGCCACTGCTTACCCTCCACCATGGCACTCGTGTAAAAGAGCGTTAAGGCCCGTCCACACGATCGAGCAGTGTCCGGCGGGCACGCGCTAAATGCCTGTTATCGGGCAAACCAGCGGAGTGCCTATGCCCGTCTTTGAGCGAAATCATGGTCCGCCTGCCTGGTGGTTTGCTGCCGGATATGGAGCGACGACTCTGCCAGACAAACGAAGTTGAACCTGGGACCCTGGCTGTCAGTTTCTCAGTCTCACCACAAAAGTCGCCACTATACCATGTCTAGCCCTCCGTCCACCAAAGAACAAAGAAACATTCATTGGTCTAGAGAAGAGACCATGCTGTTAATTGAACTCTATCGCCAGTACCTTTGTCTATGGAATGTCAAAGCGGACTTGTACAGGGATAGGGACAAACGTACAGCAGCACTCAATGCGATTACAGAGGATATGAAGAGAAGTGGGACCGCACTCGCCACTTCCGACCACCTACTAGCCACCGGCGCCCGACTATGACTGCCGCCAACCACCCCAGTGTGTACAACAACACACAGGCTTTTGCCCGGTAAACGGGCAAAGCCTGCCGGGCACTGCTCGATAGTGTGGACGGGGCTTCAGGGTTCCTGATCCAGCCAAGTGACGAAGACATGTGTTTTCTCTGATTGAATGTTCAGATGTTCCTGACAAAGATAGGCATGCACTTGGCAACACACATACAGTGTGTTACCACTTCCTTCCACTCCACCTCTCTAATCACCCCCACCTTTCTGCTTTCTCACTCCATAATTTAAAATTTATGTAACGTAATGTGGAAGGAATATGACGTTCATTAATGCTTATACTCAATTTTGTGGGTAAACATCTGCTGTTCAGTTGTGTCTGGTAGTGCTGCAGCGAGTGTTACCAATCAAACCTATTGATGCAGCATCTCCTCAACACTTACCACAATCTCCTGCTCCATGATCACCAGCACTACCTCTATTATCACCACCTAAATCATAATTTTAGTGATGGTTTTGCTTTAGCCAGAGCAGATTAGTACGATATCCATTGCCTTCCACCCACTTCCCACCTTCCTCCTCACTCCCTCCTACTGTGTATCACCAAAACTCTGCCTCTCTCATTCATTCTGAGTCATTTATGATACAATATTGTACAGTACTGTACATTGTTTATATGCTATTCATTAATTAGTAAAGGTATGTTAATAGTATTGTATCTTTTAGTGTACCTACATATTTTTGGGGGTATATATTGGTTAGTTAGGAGATGCATCTTTGGGCTCGTGGGATGAAACTAATTTTTTCCATATGTATGGTTTTGCTTATCATGGTAGTTTTCTGGAACCTTACCCTAGCGATTATCAAAGATACATGTACTGTATATTGTTTATTGAGGCACTAAGCAATTCAGAGGACAGCTCTCATTCACTCATCTACTTATACCAAACATAAGCCTTATTCTATAGGAACATATCCCAATTCTCCTTGTCCAAAGATTTGTTTTAACCCCATGAGTGTGGTACCAACCCTATGAATACAATGAAATGACTCTTTGAACAAGATAATTTTAACCCATAGACTTCAATACAGTTTGGGTAGTCCCTGGTTTACAAATATCTCTGGCTTACAAAAATCAGAAGTTAAAAAAAAAATATTCCCAAGTTTCGGTTTATGTATAAAAAATCAGATGTTGCAAATTTTTGTGGAATTTTTTGCAGCATTGCAAAATGCTGAGGTGTTTCCCGTACCTGACCTGGTCAGTTTATAAAAACCATTAAACTAAAAACAACATTTAATACAGTACAGAATTGTACAGTACTGTGAGTGGCTAATTAAGCTAAAATTTAAATACATTAGTGTTTTAGTTATCGTGGCTCACAGGTTTGCTAGGTGAAGCTGGCAAAACGCTAATTAGAAATGTTTCAATTGGGAAAACTGTTATGTTTAGTATCCTAGAATATGATTTGATGTCACTGGAATGAATAAAGTGTTAAATAGATATGTTTAGTAGTTCTTCAAATAAAACCACATCAAAAATCAAATCCACTGA